GCTCCCTGTCTTGTTTCCTATCTTTGTGACTGACTGCCAAGGAGATCATACCTGTAGCATATTCCCTCTTCACCATGATTCCCCTGTGTGATCTTTTTGTTATTTTATTAATATTTTTGTTTCAAATTTTCTTAGTGGTTTTTTATTTGCATTTGTACCCTTTTTTTTGTTTAATCAATTCTTCTACCCTCTATCTTAATATGAAAGAGAAGAGGAATCCATCCATGGTTGCCGACAAGCAACAATAGTGCTTAAGCAATGTAGCAGCATCCGTGAATTAGTTTTTCTTAGTTTTTGATGCCTTCCTTTTTCCTTTTTATACTCTTCAGGAGAGGGTCATGTGGCAGACCATTTGCATTGCTTTCTTTCTCTGCCATGCATTCTCCTCCCAAGTCTCTCAAAAGATGGATTCAAATTGATGAAAAGTGAATTGAATTTTCATGGTCAAATATTTTCACTAAAATATTTGAACGATTTTCTCATTCATGAATTTCATTGATATATATATATATATATATATAGAGAGAGAGAGAGAGAGAGAGATATGTTTGTTTTTACAAGTGGCACAAGCCAGGGCATGGCAGTGCCCCCCCCCCAAAGCCCAACCATATCTGAGAGGATCATACAGCTGGTGAATCATCACGCACTGCCCTGTCAACCCTCACAACAAACAAGCTCCATGCACTCACTTTGTATGATGGCTTGCTCACCCAGTCAGTCCTGCTCCTCCCTCAGCTAGCTCACCATTTGATGGGCAGGGAGGGAGGGAGGGAGGGGAAATGGATGGATGATAAACATGGTTGGAATGATGAATGAATGAAAAGGTGTTTTGAAAACTTTTTAGCATGCTGGGGCCATAAGGCAACCAACCAACCAACCATTCAGCACCCCTTTCCTTCCTTTCCCTTCCCTTCCTTCCTTCCTTTCTTCTCTTGCTTCCACACCAACATTTCTCACTCACTAACATGAGTATATTGGTGTGTTTGTGCATATCTGTGTTTATATATCCTCTTTCTTTCTTTCTTACTTTCAGCCCACCTGCCATTTGTCCAACCCATCTAGAGTGAGACCTCTCTCCCTCTACCTACTCTGGAGAGCCTCCCATTATTGACCTTGCAAGGCCTCTTTTTCTCTTGCCTAGGGCATATGTGGCACTTCTTCTACCTTCTCTTGGTCAACAGTGTACTGTCATGCTCCAACCATGTTACATGTGTACTGTGACAAAGAAAGAAAAGGGGGGGGGTAAGATACAGATATATATATATATATATATATCTATCTATATGTATATTTGTTGGAATTGATTATTTATTTATTTATTTATTCCTTTCTTTCTTTCCCAGTGTTCCATGTAACCTCCACCACTACTTGTGCCAGCAGCTTCTTCCTTTCTTTTCCCTTTTCCTTTTCCTCCCCTCTTGTGGGCTCACCCAAGGACCCATCCACTCACAATCCCTAGCATGGCTGCTGACCCAACAATTGTCTGGGCACAACAACACAAGGCCGCCCAAGAATGAACGAATGAAAGGAAGGAAGTAATCCAAGACACATGTCGTCACTCGTTCATCCACCATCCATCCATCCATCCATTCTCACTTTCTTCTTCTTCCTTCGTTTTTATTCCTTCTTCTCCGTCCCTGCCCAACACTGACCTTTGTTACAACAACGGTGCACAGCCAAGAAATGAGCTTTTTTCAGGCTGCCCAAGTGCAGACATACAGACAGCCAGGTACTGACTGCCCCTCACTGACTACTGCCCTTCCTTGCCTGCCCGTGGTGGGAGGTTTGTGAGAGGGTGAGTGAGTGGGTGAGTGGGTGAGTGAGTGGTGGTGAGAGGAGGTTAGAGAGGGCAATGGAGGTGTTCAGTTATTGGACTCTCTCCTACTCTCCTCTCTCTCTCTCTCTCTCTCATTCCTCCAGAGCCCCCCCTTCACTGGGCTTTGTACCCAACTCCATATCAAGGCTGCAGATTCTACTCACTCACTCTCTGCTTGCTTGCTCTTTTGGACTGCGGCTTAAATGTACTTTGTTTCAGTGGTTCTGATGCTGCTTCACTGTAATTTGTTTGGGGATTTGGTCACAAGCACTGCCCAGTTTGTGGATTAGAGACTATGATGTTCACTTCTTCAATATGTACTTTGTTTTGTTTTTATTTTTTTATTTTTGTAGAAAAGGTGATGGTAAGTGTAATGGTTCTACAGTTGTGGTAGTGGCGTTGTTCCCCTCATGAATCTGCAAACAGTCCTGCTTTTGACACAGGAGGTTGTGAGCACATTGTTATTTAAAGAAAAATAAAAACATGAATGATAAAAGAGAGAAAATTATTGAATATATATAAATTTATATTAATTATGTGTATTTAGTTGATATATATATTATTCTTACAAAATTAATATCATTTAAAAAAAACATGGATTAATGGACTACAAACAATCCAAGATATGTATTAGTATGGATTACTTGATGTTTTTGTAATTATAAATTAGTAATCTATAATAATACATTTAAGTAGAGTTTTATTTGTGTCATCACTCAATGTCCTTTTCAATTAAGTAAAAAATGTATTTAACTTATTTTAATATTTTTTTTTATAGAATATTTTTAAATAATAAAATATTCTGATTTATTCTAAATTTTATAATCTAGAGAGAATTTTTATCTTTATTTTAAAAAGTTGGCATCTTCAAATGAATCTATTATGTTAATATTTAAAATAATATCTTATATGTTCAAATATTTTTAAAATAATGTAAATAAATATTTTAAAATATTTTGAGAAGAGTATTAAAATTGACAAACCTGAAACTTAAATTAATTCATCATGTAACTTCGAGTACAATTCAATCTATTGGAATCAAATGCACTATATATTGGAAGCTAAGTACATATTTAAGAATAATGTATACATATTCTGCATTAAGATATTTATTGTATTGATGCTTTAAATTAAGCAATATGTTTATAAAATAATCTTTCATACTAATTTACATTGTAATTTTTTTTAATAACTTGGAATATATATTAAAAAAATTATGTTTAATACTAAATTTAAGATTTATAAAGATATTTATATGTATTTTTTAGAAGTTTTAAAAATTAAGTATTTTATTGATAAATAAATAAAAGATAAAAGTACGAATTCATACAGATAATTATTTGTTTCAATATATAATCTATATTCTATAATAAGTATATATATATATATATATATATATATGAAATAGCATATGATAAATTTTTGTCTTATTATACTCAACACATAAAAGTGAAAATACCTCTTTAAAAATCCTGAAAAGCTTAAAATATTTTCAAATTTTTTAATAGGTGATAACTTCTTTTATGATTTTTATGTTTAGGCCCATATAGATTGAACTTAGTTTAGTTTAAAGTAAAAAAATATTATATCTAAAAAAAACTAATATAATATAATTTAATTTAAATATATTTTTTATTTTTATTTAATGTTAGTTTATTTATTTAATCCCTTTAAAAGTATTATGATTTGGCTAAATAGAAAACTTCAAATACAGATAATAATTTTTAATTAATTTATAAATATATATAATTAATAAAATTATTTTTATTTAATTAAGTAATAGATAATTTTTTTTATTTTATTGTATATTTACTTTAAAAAATAATTATATTCAAAAATATAACTGAGAGAATATTTTGAAGTTCCTTTGTAGTATTCTTCATGCATTCAATACAAGTAATCATTTTTTTGTTTAATTATTTTTATATTAAAAAAATCCTCAAGCAATTCACATATGTAAAAAATATTATTATTGAATAAATATGATATTTGCATCTTTATCTTTAGTCATATTATTTTTATGATTTTATCATGTTTATAATATTTCTACTTTATGTAAAAAGAAATATTAGTATAACCCTTTCATTTACTAAATCGGCCCAGCTTATTGTTACCCTCATTAGAAAAATGGATCATCTCTAGAAGTCATCATCACAATCATAGCCCTCATCCCCACCCCCTACTACTTCAATTCCCAAGCTTCATCATCTTGACCCCTCTCCTAGTTCCCTTCCTCTCTTTCTCCTATGTTCCCCATGATAGGATGGGTTGTTTTAGTAAATGAGCGAGTCATTTTAATATATATATATATACATATATATGTGATATGCTTAAATTCTGTCATATAATTTCAATGTAATAGTTAAGATTGTAAATGCTTGGATAGTTTCAATAGATATTTGTAATGTAACAAAATCTATCAAAAATATATAAGCATTCAAATCATTTGAAAAAATTATGAAAATTTCTGAAATATTGATTAATTTTATTTATTTATTTTTACTATGTGGTTATAAAATAATTTAATGAGCTATAAGTTTACTGATTTTAATTTAATGTAAGTTTGAACTTTTATCGTGTTTTTCCTTTTATCTTGTACTTTATATATTCTACTTTTATATATTCTACTTTTATATTTTATACTTTTACTTTAATAGATATAAATATAAAAATATTATGATATTTGATAATAATGTATAGAAGAATGATATGCATATATATATATATATATATATACACATATTTGCTGCTAAAACCAACAAATTCGGACATTACACTAACACAAACTGATCTGAGCACGACTATTTTTAGAAAGGTAATTTTGTTGATTTCTTTTAAAATTCAATGGTATGTTAGATTGTATGAAAATTAAAAACAAAAAACTAGGGGCTATAATATTGCATATCTAAGCATGTAAGAATCAGTTTTATGAATTTTAAAATTGCCAAGAAAATAAATTTTATTATATTAATGAGGACATTTTAGTAGACCTCAAGTGCTATTCCTTACATAGTGATAAATTTTAAATCCCATGTACATCTAATTCTAATTGAAGCTTTACTCACCTTCCTTGCACTTCTATTAATATCTTCAATAAACATTGACTATGTGGAGACCCATTACAATTGTTTTAGATTTTAGTTGCACAACACATGAACCACTTTCCAACTCTAAAGTCTTAAAATTAGCAAAGTGAATATGTCAGAACATTTTCTGATCTTTTATTTATTTACTTAAGCACAACAAGTTTTTGAGTACATAAAATGGTATAGAATGAAAAGAATCCAGCATGTTTGTGGGCATGAAAGCTCACACCAGGATGTCAAAGTGCGATTGACAGCGTGAGAATACAACAAAGGTCACCCACCGTGTTTCGGTTTCCGAGTTTTGAAATGCTTTGTTGTTGTTGCTGGATCGACCATGTCTAGCCGTGTGTCAGGATGTGCTGCCTGCCTGCCTGCAAGCATTGGCGAGAGAGCAGGGATCACAGCATTGCAATCTGGGGACAGACCTCAACAAACTTTGCACAAGTCGCATCGATACACAGATTGGATGGCCATGGGGATTGAACCCCTGTCCTACCTGTGTAACTTAGTTTGCTGCTTCACTTGTCGATCCCTCCCTCCCTGGCTCAGTCGCTCGCTGGCTGCCTGGCAGGCACATTCCCACAAGCCGGTGCCAGACCCAACTCGTGGGAATCTGGATGCTACCGAATGCTGCAAGAGCGGCGCCCGTCCTGCATGAGGCTGAGCTGAGCTGCGCTGAGCTCAGTGGGGGTAGAGGAGAGGAGGGGAGGGAGATCGGAGCATCAGCAGCACCAGCAGCAGTAAGAGCTCCGACATGGTTGTTGACGCGCTTTCCCAGCGACCTTTGGTCCGCCGCACCTGCCCTGCTCTGCGTGCCCTGCCCTGCCCATTCACTGGGTTTGCGAAAAGCCTGCCATGTGGCCCCGGGAACGGCTGTATGCTGTTGCCACTGACTTCCGCTTTTCGGGTTGTCTGAGAATCTTTCACGGCCATGCACTTTGGGGTGGTACCTTTGCCCTTTATTACTTATTTATGGGTAAATATACATGTACAATATATATATATATATAGAGAGAGAGAGAGAGAGTGCGAGAGAGAGAGAGAGTGTGTGAGAGTTGTGTGTGGAAATGTGTGTGTGTGTGGGGCGGTGATCATGGCTTTCTGGTCACTCGCTGCATTCAATTCCTGCCGTGCGACAAGGAAGGGAGCGATTTCACGTGTGTGTAGATGTGGCCGTCCGATGCGAAGGCGTTGAACGGATAGATGGATGGATGGAGGAAATTTCAGAGCCTTCGTTTGTGTCCCTTCCATACCCTTGTTTGTACCTGAATGGCACTGGCACTGCCATGGAAGTTCAGCGCTACCACTCCACAGAAGCTGGCCTCTTCATGCTCTTAGAACTCTGCTTTGTGAATGAAAGATGCTTGAGATATCTCACAGTCCCACTGCGAAATAAGAATAAGAAAAAAAAATACCTCAGGGTTACACTGTGTGTGTATACACTTACAACCTCTCTCACACATACAGATATAAATATACATGGTCATGCATTGAATAGGAAGAAGTAGAAGCCTTGGGCAGTGTGACCTTGGGCTCTGGAGAATTTCCCCATCTTGGTTTAGGATATGATTTTCAAATGACATGACCTTATAAAACAATTCAATCCCTATTAAAGGTAGCTCTTGCATTTGCCATGGTGAGGTCTATTTGTCTAGAGTCATCATTCAAGCATTGTATATGTGTATACATATGTATATATATACACATATGTGTGTTCATTCCAGTGGATGAATTCCATCATTCACATCACAATGTCCTTTCTGCACAGGAGTACCTTTCCAAAAAGTTTGAAAAAAGCATAAAAAAATCAAAGTAGATTGATAAATGAGATATGCAGAATCTACTGTTTAATCATGATTTCCTGTCTCATACTTTTGTGTTGTTATGTGTTACAGGAGAGGCAATTGCCGTTTGTACAGCAGTGAAGGGAAGCAACACATGTGATAGATTGATTTGATGAATGAGTGAAAAAATGAAAAAAATGAAAGAGTGAGCTTCGGTATAGATGTTGTGGCAGCGACAAGGCAGAGGATGAGGATGGGAAACGCAGGGCTCACAATAATTATCAAAATGCTTTGGCACGTGGTTTTCTTTGACCATATAAAGTTGCCCATACCATCACATTCACTTGGGTATGCGTATGAATGTGATGATTTGATGTAGTTGCTCATTGCTGAAAAGAAGGAAAGAAGGGTTCTGAAAGTAGTAAGAGTGTGGGACTTTTTAAGAGGAACCCAAGAGTTTCTTCAAACTAGGGTTGTACTCCATCCTAACCATTGGCAAATGTTGAGTCACCCCACATGGAAGTTATATCAATGAGGAAATCTTGGATATGAATGAGGAAAACATGGGGGTTGACTTTTGATACATAATCCAAACCCATGTGATTAACAAATGTACTTTTGTGGAGATTTTTTGTTCTATGATTGGATTTACATCTAATGGTACTTTTTCTAAAGCATTGCCATCTCCAACACCACAGCACACAAGGATGTGAGTCATCTACCGTAAACAATCATGTTTTCTATAAAAAAATAGTTTAATTTGATCTGTTTTGCTGAGATTTGTTTTAGATTAACAAGGATGTTTTCTGTGGATGAGAACCCATCCAAAATATGCCCATACTCCTTACTGGCATTCTGGAGGTTCCCAACACCATCACTTAACTTCAAAAAATCAAAAATAAAATAAAATAAAATAAAGGAGTTACAAGTTCTGTATTTCCTATGAAAATTGAAAGGGATCCCTTCTGTGTGATTGAACTTTGGGACCTATTCTCAATGCCACATTCAGATTCACATTATATGATCAATATATGCTAATTTACATGATGTTTGCATATTTGGTACTTATCATTTATCACAATGTAGATTTTATAGGAGATATCATTTTTGGAGGGCATGCAATTAATGTTCAGTATCTAAGGTTAGAAGATGTCATATTTCGTAGGTAGCAAAATTATTTTGTAGATGTCAGTTATGTCATTTGCTTGTAATACTTCAAAATTTTGCCCTTGTTTCATTTATTTATTTTTATTAGAAAAAAATAGTATTTTAACATTTTGATATGATATTTTCACCTTTGATTATATTATCAATTTTTTATAAAATCAAATTAATAATCGTTCAATATTTAAAAGATGTTTTAGATAAATGTGTATGAATTTAGTACATGTATATATGTATTTAATCATTTGTTAAAAAATTAAAATTTCAGTTATTTTATTTTATTTTTAAAATAATATATATAGATAATTTAAATCTTTAAATTAAGTATTTATACTTAAAAAATTAACGTAATTAGAAAAATTAACTAATATAAAGCAATAGTAGCAATAGTAGTTTTTTAGATTTCAAATGCTTATTTTAAGACTTTTTATTTTGCTACTAATCTTTGAGAACTTTTATTTAAAATAGAATATCTTTTCAACATAAATATATGTTAATTTTTTATATATATTATTACATATTTATAAGAATTTATTTTTATTTTTTATTTTCTTATATTAAAATTTACAAATTTAAGTCATATTTTAAAATTTTCAACATATTAACCCTCATTTAAACTCCAAAGCATGGATCATACTCCAAAAAAATCTATTTAAATTTTTCTTCCTAGACTTTGCCAAGCCTCAACTCTCCATCTCAACAATGCCAATAAGAGGCGTATCACTCACATAAAATTACTTTTTATGTTTAAAACATGATATTTTTATGTAATTTCATAACAATAAGCACCTTATCTACATGCTTCTAAAGATTAAATCTAAAATTATTATTAATAAATTATAAATAGATAATTTATAAGAAATAAATTATTTATATATATATATATATATATATATATATATATATATATATATATATTCTTTCATTAGATTGTTATAAACATAGATAGTCATTGAAAAACTAAAAATATTTATCAATATAAATGATATATCTTCTAAAAAATTATTATCTTTTTTATATATAAAATAATTCTTATTATCTATTAATATAGTCCTAAAATATTATTATTATTATTATTATTATCATTATTATTATTATTATATATACATATAAATAAATTATAAGTAAAGAATATTTTTTAAATATTTTGATTAAATTTTAATAAGATTTTGATTAGAATGAATAAATTATTCAATCTTCAAAATTAATTTATTAATTTATTAATTCTAATCAATTATATATCAATTTATTTAAAAAATATTATAAATTTTAAATATAAATATTTTTTATAATACAAATAATTAATTTGAGACTTCCATACAGATTAGATATGTATTCCATAAGTTGAACACTTATGAAATGGCCTATAAGACATTACTACTTAATTCTTTAATAGATAATATATATAGATGCAAGAAGAAAGCCTTTTTCATTCTTATCAATATTTTTTTAATATTCTATCTAGGTTCAAGTCTTTCTTATCTGTTTATGTTTGGCAATAACAATTCTAGTTTTAATTCTTTATCTTTTTTTTAATTATCTATTTTTTTTTTCATTTGGTGATGTAAAAATATATTTTCTTTTTAAGTATTTTACTATAGTTTGTGATTTGAAAAAAGATTAATATTCTAGGAAAGTTTTAAGGACATAAAGCTTGAAAAAAGAAATCCTCAACATACTCTTGTATCACTCAAAAGAACTAGAAAATCACTCAAACATGATATAGTATTAAAATAGAATGGCTATTATTAAAGACAAGAAAACTAAAAAATCTTGAAACAAGACCAAAGACTAAAAAAGCATTGATAAGAGTGAAGAAGGCTTCATTCTTACCTCCATATATATTCTTAACTAAGAGTTACGTGGCAGTGTTCTATAGGACCTCGAAAATGTGTTGACTTTGCAAGATACATATCTTTACTTGCAAGATAAGTTTTTAATATGTGTACCACATAGTTATCTTGTTTCACAAGCTACCAATATGTGATTAAGTTATTGATTAAGTTTCTAACCTACCAATCAATTACAAACACATATATAGTCAAAGCAACATTTGTGAAGCTTTTCTAAAAAGTATTATGAAATAAATCTACTTTTACTTACTTCTATTTAATCATATAGATAAATATTAGAGTAAATATGTATGTCCATGACATTATTCTTCCTTTCAATGACGAGTTCAATGAGGAGCAATTATCATATATTGAAGAATTTCAAGATGCAGCAAATTATATTTGTTACATATTCTGATCTTTGTTATCTTTAAAGATAGTTAATAGGTCATCTCAGCCATTGATAGTATCCTATATCAAGGCAAAAAGTCCATCCTATTATTTGATTGTTATAAAGGCCTTTGTAACTTCCTTCAAATAATACATTTGAAATACTATCAAGAGTTATTATGATCAAATATTGGAGTTCTCTTCTAAGGTCATGATACCAAATACGTTGTATCTTGCCATTTATTTGAGGAAAGACATATTTTTCTTGAAGATCTTCATCTTGATTATATTGTCTTGAAAGTTGTAACAATTCTAATATTTCATTTAATAAGTCAACAAGTGATAGCTCTTAAGTTGAATATACTGATTGTTGATTTTCTATCTTCTTAGTATCACAAATGTACAAAAGTACCAAATAAGAATAGAAGGTAGAATTCTATCTTCTTTAAATATTGTTTCTTTTATAGTAATAATTTTTTAATTATTTATCTTAGTTTTGATGGATGTCGTCAATAAAAAACCTCAACCTTCTTTGTTACATTTATAAGATTCTTTGTTGACTCCCATGTACATTCATTAATATCATATTTATACTAATAAAAAAGATATTCTAACCTTTTTTCATGTTGCCTTGAATCTAAGACTTTTTTCACCTTGAATTCTTGATTATTATCCACTTCTATAGGAAGAGGTGGCATTTGTCTTCTTCTCATGATATTAATTGTCTTATATGGCTCAAAAAGAGATGCACAGAATATAAGATGGATCTTCATAGACTTTGATAGATAAAATCAATAAGCAATAGGAATGACTTATTTATAAATAAGAAAAAGATTCAAGCCTATAATAATCCAACTTGTCACAAAGATAAGTAATCTTGATATTACAATGAAGTAGCCATATCTTATCATCTACATTAAATTGTAGTTATTTCTTACAATAGGCATCCGCATTGATCTTTTATCATTCTTGAGCTTCTTTAAACTATGCCTTTATTGTTGTATGTAGTTTTAATAAATGACTTACCAATTTTTTTGCTATAGAATTATCAACTTTTAAAAAGTCACAAGTATGAAGTCAAGGATGACAACCATAATTGGTAAAGAAAGATATTTTTCAAATAGAAGAATATATCAAATTATTGTATGCAAACTCTACCAATGGCAAATGAGTTGTTAAATCAACTTGATGATGATTGATGGTATATCTCAAATACTACTCCAAAACTAAATTCACATATTTTTTTTGCCCATCAGATTGAAGATGAAAAGCCAAAGAGAGCTTAATATCTACCTTTCAAAATCTTAATATAAATTGAGTTTGATATAATATCTTTGAGCAATATATGATAGCAATAAATGTTGTCAAGAAAAAATTTAATTATTTCTTTATTATCCTAAGATTAAAAGATTCATGATAAAATCTATAGAAACAAAAGACC